TCTATTTTCTAGTTTCTATTAGGAACAATAGACTGTCAAAAATAGTAGAAAAAAAAAACAGCTTAAAATTTGAAATTCTAGTGATCCTTTTCTCACATTTCAATCCCCTACATATATATTACTGAAATTCGAAAGTACAGAAAATTGAATTGTCAGAACTATCTAATTTACAAATTTCTTACATCATATTGCATGCATGAAAAATTAAATCAATTAGATTGATTGATACCAAATAGATACTAGGAAGATTATTATTGAGTCAAAAGAATGATCTAGTAGCATGAAATGTTAGAATACTCCTTGGATACATGATAGATAACATGGATTTAATTTTACTGATTTTCACTTCATGATCTTGATGGATAGTATTTACTTGATATGAAAATTTGATTGATTATTTGAGTTTAATAGAGATTTTTGCACCCTGATCTATAAGACTTGTGAGGAGAAATCATTTATTTAAAAAAAAAAGAAAGATTAATGTGAAAAATCTAAAAACAAAGAGTACACATGGAGGGTGTGAGACATCATTCTCATTGTCGAAAATCGTGCATAGAAAAACACTTGCTGAAAAATAAGTGGATAAAGTGAAAGCCCTAAAAATGAAGAGTACACATGAAGGGTGTGAGACATCATTCTTATTGTCAAAATTTGTCTACAGGAAAAGTTACTTATCCACTATATATATATATATAAAAGAAGAAATATAGTGTAAACTTCAAAAATCAAATCATAGAAAAAAAGAAATATAGGATCAATATTATTCTTGGATGAGTATTGATAACTGAAATATCTTATAAATACATTTATGAGTGAAGAAGTGATAAAGATGTGAATAGAAGAAGTGAAGTCTAAATTATTATTCCAAGGAGTGTTTAAACATTTAAGTGCTTGACATCATTCTTAAATACTTGATATAAGAATCCAAAGTGTTTAAAGGTACATCATTTCTAATTGTATTTTTTTTTTCTATATGAAAATATGATGTTTGAGATTTGTAAAATTTTATTTTCGTAATTCTATTGCAAAGAGACTAACAATGATTTAAGTTGAGGGGTGTGATAAGTCTTCATTATCATGAGTTAATAATTAGTAAATAATATAGTTTTAGCCTTAACTCATGATAAATAGACTTATATTTGTGTTAAAATGTGAAAAGTGGTTTTCAGTTGATTAATATGAATTTTTTGATAATTATGTGATTTTATACAATTTTTACAGTCTTACTTTTGAGATAAATGAAGAACAAGAAATAGAAATAAAAATATTACAAAATGAGGGGACCCACCAGCCAGCTGCAAGTAGGTTGGAAGCTTAGTTGGAGAGTAGCTGCGAGTAGGGGCTCAAGCGGCTTGGACAGATAAGGGCACGTGTGCGTCACTCTCCTTCCATGTCACCAGTGGCCAGCCGGTTGTGGGGCAAGGAGTGGTCGTACACGAGAGAGAAGGGACTTTGCTTAGAAATTAGTATATATTCACCTGAATAATCAGCACACAACCGATGTGGGACTAAATTGCGTCACACCTTCCTCAGAAGAGGCAGGTGACCAGCACGGGTTCGAGTCCTTCTAGAGTCAAAAGTCATATATTTTTATCTAATTATCGTAACTTTCTTGCAGATCACCGATAAAAGATTAAGCAACGAGAATCACTAGATCATCAGCAAAAATCTCGTCAACGCGATTCGTGGAGCATTGTTACTAAAATTGCTGAAGGATTCACAATAAAAGGATCACAAATCTATCGAGTAAATCATCTCTGGTTGATCAACGATGAACAAGCTGTTGTCAGGAATAAGATGATCCATTGGGAGACGAGTCGCCACCTCCTGAGAGCATACCAGATGTGATGAAGACCCTCCTCTTGCTATGCGGACTTGAGGATGAAGCTCCTTGACATGTGCCCCACCTCCATCTAGCTCTTCTCCGTCGGGTGACAGCCACCGGAGAGTCACAAAGTCGCCGTTTTTCTACTCTGTCAGGTGACAGCCCTTGAAAATGATTCGACGACCCACTTCATTGATCTCTATACTTCACGAGAAGATCTAGAGATTGCCCATGTCATCTTTGTCTAAGGAGAGCCTTCAAGGCTGTAGACACTGCACAACAATCCTCCCAAATGCTCAGGATTTTGGTGCATCGCTAACGCATCATCATCGTGACATTAGAACTTTATTTTTCTGCTTTCAACTTAATTTTTATTTCATTTAGTGATAATTTGTTGATTTTAAATTTACCAACATCTACTTCATTTCATTATGATTCTTTCGTCTTTTACAGATCTTAATTTGATCAATTAAATCATTTATAATCGCTTACATAAAAATCACCGGCCAGAACTCTGTTTTCACCTGATTTGCATTTGCCAAGTGCTGACATCATCTTGACACCCGCATGCTTATTTCCTTTTTTTCGTGAATTTAAAATATATTTCTATTTCATTTCTTAGTATAAAATTTATATAAAATAGTATTCCCTGAGGAAAATTCTGAATAATTACTAGATATTATATTACATCATTGTGATCGACTTAAAAAATTACCACTATTTTTGGAAGTTTTATTGAATTGTAATTAATATATTTGTTTAGAAATACTTCTAAATATCTAAAAATTCGTATTTTCTGGTTTTATAAATTTTATATTTGCGTGATTTAATATACAATGACTAAGTCATGTCACTTAGCATCGAGAGTCGGTCCTGGTCAAGAAGTCGAGGTAGTCATCGTCATAAGGCATGGCATGGCCAGTGCAGGCGTGGGACCGGTGGTGGGCTGAAGGGCATGCTAGTGGGCACTTGTGGTAAGCCACGCAGCATGCCTCAGGGCATGCGGGTGATGGTGCTGGGTGGGCACATGGGCCGCAGGAGCTGGCACGCAGGGCACGTGCGGCAGTGGCACTTCAGCGGGAATGCCAAGCATCAGCGATGCTTTGGCAGGAATGCTGAGCATCAGCGACGCTTCGGTGGGAATGCCGAGCATCACCGACGCTTCAGTGGAAACCCAATCGTCGCCGGAAGGATTGGCCTTCTCTAGCAGCGCCGGGAAGTGGAGCAGAGAAAGGGGACAATCTGGCCGATGATACCAGGGAGGTGAGCCCTTCTGGTCTAGGCGACGTAGGAAATGGCATGACTGTGGCGGATCATCGGGAAACTTTGGCCGGGGCCTATGAGGAACTTAGACTGGATCTGGCTCATCAGCACGGCTGCAGGGTCTCTCCTAATGTCGGCGGTAGGTACGCATTCGTCGGCAAATAGCCAGCAACTGGGTGGAGCGATGGAAGGTGGCTCTGGCAAGTTTAGGGTAGAGTTCCGGAGGAAGAGGTGGCAGTCAAACTAGGAGTCAAGAGACTCTGGTAGAGTGCTCAGCAACGGCCTGTAGGGAGGTGAAGTGAGCCCCTTTCATCACGATGGCATGAAGGGGTTCCAGCAGAGGCAGCAGTGGCTGCAGCAGCAACTGTGACCGTTTTGTCTGGTGATGGCGGCGAACTTCCAGGCGGCAATGAGATGGCCAGTAGTGGCAATGGTCTCAAGCAGTAGTGGGACTTCTCAAGCAGCAATGTCATGATGAACGAAGTCCTCATGGTATCATTGGCCTTCCTCTCCCTCCTTCCCTCCCTATCCTAGGTCATGAAGAAGGTACTCACAAAATGATAATCTCTCACAAAAAAATATGACGCTTTTTTTGAAGGGGGGTCCTACCTCCCCTTATGTAGGGCCCACAAATGAGCTAAGGGGAGGTGGGCCCACTTGAGGCCCTCAAGCCCATAAGCCACAAAAGGCTACAAAAGGGGCTTATTGGGCCTCTAAAAGAGAGACCGAATAAGCTCCCCTAAAAGGAGAAAGAGGAGGGCCCTCATTTGGTGCTTAAGTGGGCCTCAAATGAAGACTCAAATAAGCCCAAAAGAAGCCCAAAAGGAAAGAAGCATAGGTTCCCCCCCCTTAGGGTTTTAATTGGGCCTCAAAAGTGAGACCCAATAAAACCCTAAAGAAAGGGAGACACAAACAACAACACACACACATAGAATTGGACCCGTTAACACACAAACGCGAGGCCCAACAAGTCAACGTGAAAATACAAAGAAAGATAAGGGTGAGCTCAAACTCGTCGTCATCGCGGAGGTGGAATGTCGTCGTCCCGAAGGGCTAGGCCGTGTAGTGAAAGCCAAGTTCCTTCATCTTCGTGCGTCGATCGGGCTGAACTTGGACTGCCAATGTCTCTTGAGCTGATGAAGACAGGTCTTGCTCGCCATCATACAGTTCTCTGAAGACTTGTACTTTTTCTCCTCTCTCTCATCGTAAGTGGATAAATTTGAAGAAATCACCAAGCTCCACTCTATGGGCACTTTCCAACTCTCAAAATTTCATGTCTTAACTTAACCCTCTCCCTACTCATCACCTAGGTTACCTTAGGGCCTAATGGAGAGATATAGCCTTCAATGAGTATAGTAGCTTTGAATTTGTTTTCTTTGAAGTGCATGGTAGCTTTCTTATGGCATATGGATTACAGTCTTTCTCTTGAACTTGAGTGAATGATGTGGATGAATATCTTCATTCAAGATTAGTTTTGATTCTTAATCAACTTGTTCTATTTATCCTCCAGCATCTCCCTCTCATTTTAACATCTGAAAATTGTCATATGAGTTTAAAATTCTTCCCTTTACTTTGTCGCCATACTATTAACCTTCAATTGTTCTATAGTTCTTTAGAGAATTAGTATAATTTTTATAATCATATTCTTGAGATAAAATGAAGAAAAATAATATATATATATATATATATATAAAAGGGAAGACTTGCTAGCTAGTCAAGCCCACATTTGGGTTAAAGGCATAGTCAAGGGGGGGGTGTCATGAGTTAGGGGCTTGAGTGGTTAAGGACCGATTAAGGCATGTGTGCATCACTCAACTTTCATGTCATTGGGGGCCAATTGGGCATAGGGTAAGGAGTGGTCATACATGTGTATATGTGAGAGATAGTACAGTAAAGACAAGAGGAGGCAGAGACATCGATGTGTGGGAGTGTTGCCACCAGATCTCCTAAGAACTCCATAGTTAAGCATTCTTGCGCTGAAGTAGTAGCATGGCAGATTCTACCACCTTTGACCCTAGCCAAACACTTTCTACCACTCCTAGGCTAGAGTAGTACTAGAATTCATGCTAGGAAAAGGCTAGGTCTGGGTACTCATCTCCCACACCCCAAAGGATAAAAATGTCCTTAAAAGTTAGAGTAGTACTAAGATGGGTAACTCTTTGGGGAAGGGGCTAGGCCTCAAGGTACAGTGCATGAGCTAGAGTAATACCATGGCAAGTGACCCCTTGGGAAGATGCTAGGCCCAAGTGCCCAAGGCCCAAGGTATGTAGGTAATTTTCTAACTCTCTCTCATACACAAGCAACTGTAGCTATTACAATTATTTACCCATTGACAGAAATTTCATCAACATTATTTGCAAATCATTATTAATAATTTATTAAAGATTTTGAATACAAAAATCACATATTCTTCACTAATTGATTGACAAATGAGCTATCATCAAGAAGAGGATGATCCACTAAGAGATGGGTCATTGCCTCTCCAAGGTAAATTGAATGTGATACAAGCCACCCTTGCTATGCAGACTTGAGGAAGAAGCTCTTTGAGGCACACCTCACCTTCATCAAGCTCATCTATGTTGAGTGATAGCTTCTAGAGAACCTATCACTGCCAAACTTCCATTCCATTGGGTGACAGCCACTATAGACACTTAATCGACCTATCTCATCAATTTCTATATGTCATAAGATGATCTAGAGATTACCTACATTGTGAACGTCCAAAGAAAGTCTTTGAGGCTGTAGACATCACATGATAATACTCTCGTACATTCAAAATTTCAACAATCACCATTATGACTCTAGAATTCTATCTTTCCTATTTTAATTTAAATTAGTTAGATTTTGTACGATTTCAAGTTTTGAAACTCTTATTTAGTTAATTAATTTAGCTTTCATAGATCTTATTTTAATCAATTAAAACATATATAATTATTTATGCAAGAATCATTTAGTGGAATTCTATTATGCCTTAATCATTTTTGTTAGGGTGCTAATGTTATCTTGACTTCTATGCTCAAATTATTTTTCATAAATTTTAAATAAATTTTCTTCTTCATCATTTAGTCTAAAAATCATAAAAATATACATTATTTTAAAAACATTCTGAAATTTTACTCAATATTATCTTAAACCCCTATGATCAACTCCCTTTCCATTCAAATCTTAAAATAGAACTCCAATCAAACTGTGTCCTTTGGTCAAGGCATCAGCTGAGTAAAGGATACTTGCCACAACTAAGATGCCTGAAATTTCTACTGTCTTAAAAATGTTTTATAAAATTATAATTAATTTATTTATGCTACAATACTTCAAAATATCTAAATATTGATATTTTATAATTTTATAGATTTTAATGTTTTGTGATTTATTGTGCAATGATTAGGTCACATCAGGTTAAAAAATGTGATACGTGAAAAATTAAGTATAAACTCAAGTACTTGAGATTTCTTGCTTTTTGTGAGTGTTGATTCTTCTATTTCATTATCATCTTCATCTCATCATCTTACTATTATTATTCCTCTATTTTACTCAATCAAAAAAAGTTATATGAGTCATCAATGAACCATTTTAGTTTGTTGACAAGGACAATGATATTGATTTTTAAGGCAACAAAGTTTTAAGGTTGACAATATACACTTGAACAACTTATAATACTTATTTAACAACTAACATACCACCATTGATGAAATTTTCTGTCCAAACTCATAACAATTTGGTTGAAATTCATCATTAAATGAAAAATATTTTTTCCTCAAATTTTGTTTAGGAAAAAGAGTCAACTTAGGGATTTTACTCACTTGATAAAAAGTGATAGTCATGATGCCACAAAACATGTTACAAGGGAAACTATGGCAATGTTACGAACTGACTGTTAAGTACCCTTATGTCATTGAAATAACTCGAAATTACATATTTCCAACCATTTCAAACCTCCAAAAGAGAGATTCCTGCTCACATGAATATCATGCCTGACATTGAAGAACATGAATTATTACAAAAAACATTCAGATTTTTTCATGGAACACCAAATACTTCATTATTGAAGATCCATATTCTCATACAAAAGAAAATATTCTCTTCTTTTTCTTCTTAGCCACGTGAGTTATGTGGACATAACCTAACCTAAGAGTCCATGGTGGTGCCCCATTTGCCTCGAGCTGCCTTTTCTTCCTCAACCTCCCTAGTAGCAATTGAACAAGATTCAAGGTTTGGATTTTGATAGTGGTGTCTTCTATTGGTCCTTAAATGACTAGATAAATCAAAAGTAGAGGTGAATTTATTTCTAATGTTCATTATAATTAAGTAAAACAAATTCTCTTCTTTTAATTTTCCTTTATATATTAGTATTTTATTTATATTTCTAAATCAATCTATAAGTATAAGATAAATCAAGAAAAATGTCGATATAGTATTTTAGAATGGTTCCACCAAACTCTTTTAGCCTACATCTGCTTTCAAAGAATCTAACTCAGCTCCACTATTTAACCACTATAATACATCGAATTTGGTAAGATCAAATCTCTTACATCACTATTGTGCTATGATCATTGTTAGCAAAACATGTCTAATCTCGACATTTATATCTGATTCAAAAAGATAAATCAAACTTAAAATTCTATGAATCCAAGTTGATCACTATTGTGTTAATTTTTGTTCTCAAACTTTCTTGATTTAATGGTAACTCAAAATGTAAAATAAAAATTATTTTCCACTCATAGTTGTCATCAACATCGTGATGTAAATAAGTAGGTCATGTTGAATCCTTTAGTTACTCCTCATTGATTTAGAAGTTCCTTATCTAAATAATAGATCTTATGTTGCAAAAAATCTAATTCACATGAGATTGAACTAGATTGGTGGCTGAAAAATGTAAAGAAGAATGATAAGAAGTTTGAGAGAATCATGCCACTAAGTGTGTGTGGGTTATATAAGGTAAAATGGTGAGAATTTAACTCAAACTCTATTTATTCTCTAGGGATAATATACAAAGGTATGGACTTAGACTTGTGAAAAATTTGCCAGCCACCCAAAGCAAACATGTCTTTGATTGAAAACTCTAACATGAAGCAAATCATAAAGCTTTATCTTTTTCTTGCACAAAAATAAAATGAGAGTAGATGGAAAATAAATGAATTAAGGATTAGAACAAAAGTGATTGAATTACAGAAAAGCAGGTTTAATCTCTTTCATAAATCAGAAGGGAATCACTCAGGCTTTGACTTCGTCTGTCATTTAGAGAATGTCCTAGACAAGAGAGAACTAGAGAGAGGAGAGAGAGAGAGAGAGAGAGAGAGAGAGAGCAGTGTTACAGAAAAAATATCTAATATGAACTGGCAGAAACTATATTGTAAGAAAATAGAAAAAACTAACAATTCACAACCAAGATAACACGAGAATTTTGCCATGGTTCAGAGGTTGGCCTTCAAAGTATAGAAGGCCACAGGCAATGATGAAAGCTCCGTTAGATGTGAAAGAAGTATAGAAGAACGCTCTTTAAGAACTAAAAGAATGAATCTCTAATCTTGGCCCTCAAATAAACTCACCGGTCACTCACCAACTCAAGAAGATCATTCTTTTAAGACTCACTCTCAAACTCTTTCTTTAGGGATGATAGTGGCAAGATTATAGATACCAGAGAACATGCTAAATAATACTCAAACATGGGAAGGGACCCTCTATTTATAGCCACAAAGAGTCACCTTGGGAAGCATACACAATGAGTACATCAGGAAATGTGCTGGTATAGAGGCCGAACCGTTTAGGTTCATCGCGACCCGGTATGCTCATAACCACGGTATGTTTCGGTTCCTCATGACCATGTCCGCTCATAGAGGCTGTTGGGTCCGTTGAGAATTGGTGCTTGACAGATCGATTCTCTTGTGAACCCCGTCTTCTCTCTCCACATGAAATGCGGTTCGTCTTCTTCTTCTGCGCCAGCAGCCTTTTGTGCAAAGAGAATTAGAGAGGAAGAGCGGGAGAGAACGAGAAAGAGAGAGGGAGGGAGAAACAGGAGAGAGAACAGAGAATGTGTGTGTGTGTGTGTGTGTGTGTGTGTGTGTGTGTGTGTGTGAGAGAGAGAGAGAGAGAGAGAGAGGGAGAAACAGGAGAGAGAACAGAGAATGTATGTGTCTGTGTGTGTGTGTGTGTGTGTATGAGAGAGAGAGAGAGAGAGAGGGAGAAACAGGAGAGAGAACAGAGAATGTGTGTGTGTGTGTGTGTGAGAGAGAGAGAGAGAGAGAGGGAGAGAACGAGAGAATGAGGGAGAGGACAAAAGAGAGAGCGAGAGAACAAGAGAGTGAGAGACAGGGCGAGAGAGAGAGGGAGAGGACAAGAGGGAGAGGGAGAGGACAAGAGAGAGCGAGAGAACAAGAGAGTGAGAGAGAGGGCGAGAGAGAGAGGGAGAGGGAGAGGACAAGAGGGAGAAGGAGAGGACAAGAGAGAGAGCGAGAGAACAAGAGAGTGAGGGAGAGGACGAGAAAGAGAGGGAGAGGACATGAGGGAGAGTGAGAGGACAAGAGGGAGAGGGAGAGGACAAGAGAGAGAGGGAGAGAACGAGAGAGTGAGGGAGAGGGCGAGAGAGTGAGGGAGAGGGCGAGAGAGTGAGGGAGAGGGTGAGAGAGTGAGGGAGAGGACGAGGAAGAGAGGAAGAGAACGAGAGAGTGAGGGAGAGGGCGAGAATGAGGGAGAGGACGAGAAACAGAGGGAGAGAACGAGAGAGGGAGGGAGAAATGGGAAGAGAGGGAAAAACGCGCCCTTCTCCTCTGACCTCCTAACAATCATTGTTAATTTTTTGGTTTGTCAAAAATAGGAAGTTGAGGTGGAATCCAACAAGTCTCCACGCACTTGTGTGCTTACATGGCTTAGAAAATATACCTTGGATGACGTGGCCTTCTATGATTTGTGCCATCTTTTGTTCTAACTTAAACTTCACGAAAATTGCACAAAATAATTTCTTCTTGATTACACTAAACTATCTACTTTGGAGAATCAGGTTGGAACAAAAATTAGAGG